CCTAAAACAAATCAGGCCTGTGCATTGTCCCAAGTAGCAAATTTCATTGAAATTGATTGAGTAGTTCTTGAGATAATTGAGCAGACATACATGCATATAAACAGATGCATTGCTTTGCACATGGGAGTCAAAAATTGAACATACAGTATTGAGAAGTGGTTTTATTAGATGGCTTTGTGATTTAATTTCTGGACCACTATATGGTAAATACACAACTTTAGTATGCAACTTCGACTGTTGCCATGGTAACATGATATAAATATTACATCCTGGGCAAGAAATTGTCACTGTATACAGTAATTGGCAAAAACGATAACCAATAATAATGAAATACAGTAATCAATAAAATACTACACAACATGACATCACTGAGAGTATTAAAGTTGATGGTTTGAACAAGTTTAAAACAATATTTGAATTTTCTTATTTTGTGATACAATCACTAAGATGAAAAGAAATTCAATTCCAAAGGATCCACTGAAAAGTCGCTATGACAGTGATTTGCTCTAAAATTACAAATGCATATTTTGAGTGATTCTATACAAGTTCATTTTTACATCACTGAACTTTCAAATAACAGGAAGTTTGGTATATTTTTCAGACAAAAACTGATAGTTTATTGCATTCACTGTTAACAGTAACTAACACTCTACAATCAATCATTTTGAAAACTAAAGAAAAATTAAATATTATTGTCAATGACTGGGAGGTCATGTTGACCCAGATCTTATTTACATAAGATGGCAGAAAGTTTTCACAAAAAAAAAACATTCTTTGCAAAATATTCATACAATAGGATTTCTCAAACTCAATGAATTGAGCATTTATCTAATTTTAAAATTCAAGAGAAAAAGTGTGAACACGAATCCATCAAATGAAACTCAATGTACATTTCTCTCATTTATCTCTTTCATAGCTTGTGCTCAGAGTACATGTGTTACAAATAAACTCTGAAAGAGCTGGATGAGAATTGAATTTGAAATCTACATCACTTTATAGTAAAAAATAAAGATGAAATACACAGCCAGCAAATATTGTAATCTATATTATATTGCATACAGTAGACACTGATCAGTATTTCTTAAAAACACTCTGATGCAGAACCTGTTTGATTTGTATACATTAAAAGTGTTATTACACTGCATTTACATTTAAGACTTACCTTTATTCTAAAAATAAGGTCACAGACCATGGGCCACACAAAGCTAAAACTACCCTAGATATCAGTGGTCATTGGCCACACAAAGCTTAAAGTACCCTAGATATCAGTGGTCATTGGCCACACAAAGTTTAAACTACCCTAGATATCAGTGGTCATTGGCCACACAAAGCTTAAACTACCCTAGATATCAGTGGTCATTGGCCACACAAAGCTTAAAGTACCCTAGATATCAGTGGTCATTGGCCACACAAAGCTTAAAGTACCCTAGATATCAGTGGTCATTGGCCACACAAAGCTTAAAGTACTCTAGATATCAGTGGTCATTGGCCACACAAAGCTTAAAGTACCCTAGATATCAGTGGTCATTGGCCACACAAAGCTTAAAGTACCCTAGATATCAGTGGTCATTGGCCACACAAAGCTTAAACTACCCTAGATATCAGTGGTCATTGGCCACACAAAGCTTAAACTACCCGAGACATTAGCAACACACAGAGCTAAAACCACACTTATGTATGATTGGGTTAAAAATTAAATATGTTGATGCTAAAAATAAGAATCTGCATGCCGCCAAAATTAATAGCTACATGGCAGCAAGCTATGCCCGGCGGCGGACCAGCCAATGTTAAATTATTATAGATTATTTACATGTGTTTATATGCAGTCACAAAATATGGTAATTAAATGGGTACCAATACAAAGTACCAATTGGACATGTGTAAATCTCAATAGTGTTATTTGGAACTAATGTAGGTGGAAAGATAATACTGAAGTGTACGAGGTGAGCAGGAAATTACTTGCATAGACATACAGTATCAGTTTGTTGGCAACTTAAAATGATAATGCCCTTCAAACGTGTCTGGACTATACATAGCAATAAAATCCAGACAAAATTAAAACTATTTTTTAAACATAGTTGAACTCTGGTGACCTTGCCCTTTGTTATATAATATAATTCCCTTTATCATAGTTTGTTTCAATATAAATATGCATTGTCATAATTAATTTTGAATACAAACAAGTTTTGGGGTTGAACCAACAGTGGGGAATCAGTCTACCTAATGTCCTTAAAAGATGTAAATATCTTACAAAAACATTGGTGCCTTATTTGTTTAATTATTTTAAGGGACATAATTTCCAGCGTTATTCAAGTAATTCAGATATTTTAGTATAAAAACAAATGTCTCATTGCAAAAAAAAAGTGCTGCATTTAGATGTGAATAGATTCATAAAACATGCAAGATAACAGAAAATTTTAGCTGGCTTTAGTCCAAGTATTTTGTACAGGTGTCTGTCAAAAATTAATG